CACGGTGGGCGGCTATTTGCTGCGGGCTGGTGGGTGCGCACGCGCGCCACGCGCAGCTGGCGCACGCGCACGCCGTCGCGCTGCAGCCGCTGGCGCTGCTCGCGCGCGGGCCGCACCGCGACTGACGCGCGCCTCCGGCCGACGGCGCGTTTCCGTTCCTGACACATATCCTCCCCCTGTAAATAGGCGCGCGCCCCGGCCCGGGGGCCGCTCGGCCGCGCCGGCCCTGTACAGACAGTCTAGCTAGTGTGTATTGTACATAGGTGTATATGCGAGGCGCCGCCTCCGCGTCTGTAAAATTAGCCAGTAAGTTATATTAATTAATATGTGAATTTTATTTATGTCCGGTCGGGCGATCGCCGTCGGCCCCGCCGGCTTTCGAAGTCGGCTTCCCGCCGCTGCGATCCGGCGAGCGGTGTCGGCGACATTTCTCGCTCGACGATCGAAAGCCGCCGAGCGCCGTCACGAATTACTTGAACCGCAGCGCGCGGCGATCCGCGGCCGACCGCGCCGCGCCGCGCGCTGCTCGCAACTCATATCAGTAAGCGCACGACGCGTGTGTAAGGTGGATGTGTAGAAAACTATCTATATGTTACAATAAAATGAGATCTAGAGACTTAGCGTGCTTTTTATTTTTGCTCGTGACCCTTCGGAGCTGGACAGAGGAGAGCGGGGCGAGGCCTCAGCTTCGCAACAGCCTTTTTGGCTGAACTTCGAAATTGAACGTGATTCCCGGTGAGTTCCGAACTAACACTATACTCTTACATAAGATACATCAATTGATTTCAATATTAACTATAGATTGCTAATACAATGAAAATTATATAGCGGTAGGATGATGTAAACACTAGCACTGAGAGGAATTGGAACATTTTATATTTTCCACTTGGTTCTCTCAGCCTGTGCAGTAAAAAGCTGCTTGTTATTTTCAAAAACAAATTTAGACGAAGTATAGGACCTACTGCCTATACATTACTATTGTGTGTGAAGGTAATCAATGGACTCCTGTGAAGTTGACCACCTCCTAAAAGGGGCCCAGAAACGACCTATACAGGTCTTGAGCGTACGACTGGTTTGCAAAGTCCTGCCGACAGTTACTGAAGAGTATATTATCGATTCAGTTGATGTTTATTGGTGCGCAAGGGGATGCTCTTATCGTCGAAACAATAAAAATCGGGGCGGCTGGGTTTATTTTTGAGAAAGTGACTCATTAGTTGAACGTGGAATTTTGTAATGTATTAAACGAGCTATGTTTGTAATCCTGCCGATAGTTCTCGAACAATATACTAGTTTGTGATAGTGTCAGCTTGTATCTAATATCATTTGTTTTCCACGGAAATGCGAGAAATCGCAGTGGCCATGTCGATTTTGTTACTTTTTTTATTACTTGTTTTAAGTTTGTAATTTATTATTTGAACCACTAATTCTCCGTAAGTACATACTTCATACACTTCACACACATATACTTCGTGTACACAGTACACTAATTTGCACAGACAACAATCTGTTTCTCTTCTCATTTTAATGTCCTGCGTAACCTTTTGGAGCTGAAAATCAGCGCGTCGTTTTTGTGACGGTTTTACGCCACGCCACGCCTATGCGCCACGGCAGCACACATGATACATTTTTCTATTATAAGCTGATTTGATTTTGTATTTGTTGTTTAAATAATAATGTTTTGGTTCGTTTTAAGTATTTACTTCCTTGTTTGTTCTGTCTTTGCATTTCATGTAATGAGTGTGCTTTGTTGGCAAGTAAACTATCTATCTAAGTGACGGATATTAATACACGTAGTAAAATCAAAATAATCTTTATTTCATAGGTAAGCATTATTACACTCGTCTATTGAAATCGTCACATTAGTTAAACTCTACCGCTCATTCGTAAGGCAGATTCCCCTGAGAAGAATGAGCAAGAACCTCTAGGGGTTGCTCTTTGTAAATAACATTTGTACGCATTCAAAATTTACAATATATTTTTTGTTTTGCTTTCAAACATCAGAGATCGAAACTACCTCCATACTAAACGGGTTACTACCACGGATTTTTGTCATCCAAGTACGCAGAAGTTTTATAACCTTTAGTATATAGTTTTTGTTTCACTATAGTTTTAAAACTCGTGAATGGCAAATTGTATATCAACCGGAATCTTGTTATAGAAGCGTATACAATACCCCTTAAATGATCTTTTGACTCGGTGAAGACGACTATCAAGAACAGCCAGTTTATTTTTATTTCTCGTATTAATGTTACGTCTGTCACTATTCTTCATAAAGAGATTACTATTCCTCTTAACATGAATTACATTTTGATAAATGTACTGTGACGCTAGTGTAAGAATATTAATTTCCTTAAACTTATCTCTCAAAGATAATTTGGGGTCCAGATTGTAAATTGCCCTAACCGCACGTTTCTACAGGACAAACATTCTATTAATATCGGCGGCATTACCCCAAAGCAAAATGCCGTATGTCATTAAAAGTTTTCGTATTTTTTTAAATCGCGTACACTGCAAAGCTGAGCCGTTTTGATAACTTACTTATGTGGACACCATTGCAATTTAGCATCTAAAGTTATACCTTGAAGTACAAATATCTACAAGGCTCAATTTTTCGTTTCTATAATAACTAAAAATGAAATAAAAAGTCTCTGAATTTCGGACTAAGTTGAAATGGCTACCAATCCGACTTCGCCGAGATATGCACGTTCTTTATCTCCTTTACAAAATTCTACATTACCCCCAGCTTCCTCATTATCTGTGTTCCCGTTTTTCTCCCTTATCCCCCAGTTCCCGCCCAAAACGTACCTGTGACACTAGATCACTAATAAATCCCCAATCCAACTCGGAATTCTTCCACAACTCTTTCACGGTAAGTGCAACTCGTATGTGGAATAGACTGCCTGCTAGCATTCGTGACAGTCCATCGCATCGGTGGCACCTTTCAAACACAAATGAAAAGAGCACTACCTGTCGAACGCGTTAGATAGGTAATCGGCAACATTTATTATAAACTAGTAATTTGCTTAGATTATAATAATAATAAATAATAAAGTTCATGTGTGTATGTCTGTCATATGTATATATTATCATACTTTTATTATATATATATATATATATATATATACATATGTATCCCGCAGACTTCATTTTTTTTCACATAGGGTTGGCTGGAAGAGATCTCTTTTAGAGATAAGCTCACCTTTGTATATGTCCTTTGTAACTTGTGTTTCATGTATCTTTTCTTTGTGCAATAAAGAGTTATTAAAATAACCATGTTAATAACTAGGTATATTAGTATAATAATAATAGCCTTCCCGAGACAACTTGTCTATAGGGTCGCCTCACATTGCCGCCATCGACGCGGCGATGCATTCAATCGAACAACATACACTTTACAACTTAAGACTACATTTGTTTAGGCAAAAGATGACAATGAAGATGCAGCGAGACGCTCTTTTTAAAATGCAATATAATGTACAATTACTATTTTCTACAAAATAAAGTAAAATATTACATTCTATTTCTTGTCAGTATACAGCATATCCAAACATATTATGATACAAACCAGATTTCTAGATAATTATACCTTATAGTCAAATCAATTAACAATATTTTTTAAACCCAAAAGGAAAAAAAATTAAGGTAGGCATTTTAGAAAAAAAGAGACTTGCGCACATCAGCAAAGATCACGTTTAAAAAATAACCCGATTTTATATAAGCGATCGAAAGAGAAGGGAAAAGAGAGATATGAGTAAAGAAAAGTAGTTGTGTTACCAGTTTGAGAAAGGACTGTTCAAAATCATAAAAAAATCGAACGCAAAACAGAATTAATTTGAAAGCGACAAGAAAGAATGTCAACAACTGAATCGAGCGAATAATGAACTGGCACAATAGAGATCACCTGAAATCTCCATCGCCAATAAATTCGCGATCCTCGACGCAAAGTACACTCATTGCAGTTCCAGCAGCGTGCTCTTAGGAAAAACACAAAAATATTCTTAAGGACGAATTTTATCAGCCATCTACTTCTTCCAGTTCAAAATGCTGCTGAATTGAAAAGACGGCATGGCCGGCCTGGAACAGGATCGCCGCATACCGAGGATAGTGGAATCATTACAAGAGGCGTTATCATAGTGCTAGGGCATATACGAAAGTGGAATCAATAATATGCCGAGAAGAACAAGATATTATGCTACTGTTGGAGTATGAATATTTCTGCCAATACAAGTGCCATTCAAGATTTTTTTTATGAATTTAGAGTAGATTCATAATAATAATAATGACAAAAATAAAACCTTTAAAGTTTTTAAAAAATAGCAAAAAGTATTTTGTTTCTAAGAAAGAGTAAAAAACCAAAATGAAACTTGTCTATATATTGTTAGTTGTTATTTGTAATTTTAATTTTTGTTTTCCTAAAAATATTCGAACTTTCTAATTACCGCAGCCATGTAAAATAATAATTTCTAATTACCGTCGGCATAAAATATTTGTGTCTTAATAACTCGAAAA